GTGGTGGTGGTGGTGGTGGTGGTGGTGGTGGTGGTGGTGGTGGTGGCAATCCCATTGAGAACTTAGAAGCGCGACTGTGTATTACAACATTGTCTTACGGAAGTCCCAGTCAAATAAAAGTACACCACTAGCAAATCAATATGGCACCAATTTTCAGCCGTGCCAGGTAGTAATGAAAATAATATATGATTAATTCCTCTGCCCGAAGTTTTAGTCGCCCTAATTCGCTTCCCAGAGGACCGGTGTCAACAAACAGTATTCAGCGAAAACATGGGATAGTCATGGGGACCATCTGTTTCGTTGAATGTGTGTACGACATCTCAAAAACTGGATGTGAACTAACCAAAAAGACATGCTGTCGACCAAAGTGACGTACTTGAATACGAACTGTGACTCATGTCCTTTATTTAATGCTACAGATTATGCATGGCAATATGTATAGGCGGAGAGTGATAAGACACTGACCTGAGACCTGAGTCCTGTGAATAGCCCTGTTCGGGGTTCTCTGGAACAGCAGAAGACACTGTGGCAGAGGTGCTGGAAGCAGCAATGTTGGTGGCCAGGACGACGGCTGTCTCCTCAGAGCTTACACTAGCTTCCACGACTAGATTCGACTGGAGGCAGGGAGCTTCCTCGAGATCGTGGGAAGGAACTGCTGTTGTCTGAGTCTGCGCCCCAACCCGACGACTTTCACCCAAGAGACGCTGTTGGGTATAAGCGAGGCGGAAGGCCTCTCCAACAATGTGGTTTAAGTTTTCAGCCTAAAGAGAGTAGCGAAGTTTGAGATTGATTTAACACAGTAGTGTGCCTGGGGGGTTGAAAGTTACTCAATAGTGTAAACTATGGGTCCTTTCGGAACTTTACTGTGATTTCAGGTAGAAAGGATTGCTTAAGTGTGGTTACAATATTCATTATCATGTATCATAATCTCGGAATAGTTCAGTCAGACCAGGATGCCGGCTTCTGAATGCGCTTTCTCCGGTCGAAATTCGGTCAGACTTCTTTATTTCTGTGTCAGGGATGTTTTTCAATCCCAATAAAAAAAACGGTTGAAGTCACAACGAACTCGCCTTCCGAATCAGACATAAAGGAATGATTATCCTTCGCAATCGAGCAACGTGTCATTCGCAGTTCAGCGGCAGATTACTTGACGCGAAAGTGGGCGGCACTTCGACCCAGTAGCGGGAGACGTTGTACAGTGGAGTCCGGTTAATGTGGACACCTCCGTTCCAGGCCAACTGTC